TTCCAGCCCAATTTTAGCAGATCCAGGCTGAGAGGGTTCACCGAAGTATCGGGCCCAGCTCCGTGCTGATCTCGGAACCTCCCAAAATTCCCCCGTTGAGTCACATTAGTGGGTTATCAGCAGGTAATGGTGATTTTAAGTGCTTTGCTTTATATCAACTTTCCATTTTTAATCAAGATTTAAATCAGCAAGCAGGAAACCTTGATTTTAAGTAATGGATGTTGATCTTATTTTGCATTTGCGCTTTTTATTGTTCCTAAAGACAGGTCGATTGGTGTGATTTGGTGGTACTTTTTTTTGCTAACCAGGAGGATGCACTAGATCTATACGCATTTATTCCAATTTCTAAGTGTTGCACATTTATTGAACTTTTGCTTTTTTTATATTAGAAAATGGTGAATGGAGGATCTCATTTAATAACTGCAAGTAAAAAAAATGTCAGACTCCATTTGGCTAGAAATTGGAAATCAATTCAAAATGCACAAACTGCATTGTTTTTAGTAAATGAAACTACCTTAAATATGTTGGACACAAAAGAAGTGTTCTTAGTAAATAAATCGCGGGCAAGACTTCATTTATCAAATCAGTGTGATGGTAAAACTAGTGCCCTTCACAATCAAACTTGTTCTGCGTTTCAGTTGGTTCCAATCCTGAAGGACATGGTGACGTCTAAATCAGGGTATGTGGCTTATATAGTAGCCCAGACGTGTGGTGGTGCGGTAGTAGAGACATTTCCTACAGTGAGAGGAGTGGTTTTCCTGTCAGCGTAGGGAATCCACCTCTCTGAGAGGCTGTAGCTAGGTCGACAGCAGAATTCTTTGTTGATCTACAGTAGTGGTTAGGTCAACCTAACTACGTTGCAGAGGGCAGGAAATTTTTCCAAGCCCTAAGTGATATAAACCAAATAAACCTTGAGCTACAGCTGAGGCCCAGTCTATACCTAAAAATTTCTGCTCTTCTAGATTAGTATCCTTTTATTTTTCTCTCACTCTGAACTTATTGTGGGAAACTATCTACACTCAGTGAAGCCCAGGAAGGCCAAATCACACTTGGAGCTGCAGCTAGCAAGAGATGTTAAGAGTAACAAGAAGGGTTTCTTCAGGTATGTTAGCAACAAGAAGAAAGTCAAGGAAAGTGTGGGCCCCTTACTGAATGAGAGAGGCAACCTAGTGACAGAGGATGTGGAAAAAGCTAATGTACTCAATGCTTTTTTTTGCCTCTGTCTTCACGAACAAGGTCAGCTCCCAGACTGCTGCACTGGGCAGCACAGCATGGGGAGGAGGTGACCAGCCCTCTGTGGAGAAAGACGTGGTTCGGGACTATTTAGAAAAGCTGGACGAGCACAAGTCCATAGGGCCGGATGCGCTGCATCCGAGAGTGCTAAAGGAATTGGCGGATGTGATTGCAGAGCCATTGGCCGTTATCTTTGAAAACTCATGGCGATCGGGGGAGGTCCCGGATGACTGGAAAAAGGCTAATGTAGTGCCCATCTTTAAAAAAGGGAAGAAGGAGGATCCTGGGAACTACAGGCCAGTCAGCCTCACCTCAGTCCCTGGAAAAATCATGGACCAGGTCCTCAAGGAATCAATTCTGAAGCACTTAGAGGAGAGGAAAGTGATCAGGAACAGTCAGCATGGATTCACCAAGGGCAAGTCATGCCTGACTAATCTAATTGCCTTCTACGACAAGATAATCGGCTCTGTGACTGAGGGGAAAGCGGTGGACGTGGTGTTCCTTGACTTTAGCAAAGCTTTTGATACAGTCTCCCACAGTATTCTTGCCAGCAAGTTAAAGTATGGGCTATAAGGTGGATAGAAAGCTGGCTGGATTGTCTGGCTCAACGGCTCCATGTCTAGTTGGCAGCGGAGTGCCTCAAGGGTTGGTCCTGGGGCCAGCTTTGTTCAATATCTTCATAAATGATCTGGAGAATGGCGTGGACTGCACCCTCAGCAAGTTTGCAGATGATGCTAAACTGGGAGGAGAGGTAGATGCGCTGGAGGGTAGGGATAGGATACAGAGGCACCTAGACAAATTAGAGGATTGGGGCAAAAGAAATCTGAGGTTCAAGTGCAGAGTCCTGCACTTAGGATGGAAGAATCCCATGCACCGCTACAGACTAGGGACCGACTGACTAGGCAGCAGTTCTGCAGAAAAGGACCTAGGGGTTACAGTGGACGAGAAGCTGGATATGAGTCAACAGTGTGCCGTAGTTGCCAAGAAGGCCAATGGCATTTTGGGATGTATAAGTAGGGGCACTGTCAGCAGATGGAGGGATGTGATCGTTCCCCTCTATTCAACATTGGTGAGGCCTCATCTGGAGTACTGTGTCCAGTTTTGGGCCCCACACTACAAAAAGGATGAGGAAAAATTGGAACACGTCCAGTGGAGGGCAACAAAAATGATTAGGGGACTGGAACACATGAGTTATGAGGAGAGGCTGAGGGAACTGGGATTGTTTAGTCTGCAGAAGAGAAGAATGAGGAGTGATTTGATAGCTGCTTTCAACTACCTGAAAGGGGGTTCCAAAGAGGATGGATCTAGACTGTTCTCAGTGGTAGCATATGACAGAACAAGGAGTAATGGTCTCAAGTTGCAGCGGGGGAGGTTTAGGTTGGATATTAGGAAAAACTTTCACTAGAAGGGTGGTGAAGAACTGGAATGCGTTACCTAGGGAGGTGGAGGAATCGCCTTCCTTTGAGGTTTTTAAGGTCAGGCTTGACAAAGCCCTGGCTGGGATGATTTAACTGGGAATTGGTCCTGCTTCAAGCAGGGGGTTGGACTAGATGACCTTCTGGGGTCCCTTCCAACCCTGATATTCTATGATAAGCATTCTTAAACTTGAAATGAAAGATTAGATGGGATTTTTTTTTAAACTTTGAGTCATTTTTCCCATTGGAATCTTATGCTGGGTAAAGTATAAAAGCGGCTGTGACTATTAAAGCCAAAATTGCATGTGACACCATCCGTCAAGCACTTCAGTTAACATTGCTTGTGGAATCACTGAACTAACTTTTTTTTAAACCCAATTTTGCGAATACAAAGCTAGTCATTCTTAATGTGGTCCAATAAAAGAGATCACCTCACCCACCTTGTCTCTTTCAAATCATCCAGAGACTTACTGTAATTAGTTCCAGAATGCTAGGTTAAGCCCATGTGTATGTGTCAATCTTTGCAGGATTGGGACCTTAAGGGGCCAAACTTTTTTAGTAGATTAATATCACAAAGCAGAATTTGACTCTCTTTTGTGCTAATGGGTTGGCTTGCCTAGGTAACATTCTCTCTTTTGCAGAGAAAGAACTATGCCAGGTTTCAAGTGCTAGGTGATTTCAGGACTATCAATAGTAATTAACCAGTGTCAGAGAGATGACTCCAGAGCTCAGTCGTAATTCATTGTGCTAATTCTATTACAAGGATTAAAACTTGCCTCTCACAAGGATATGAGCCAACTAAAGAGATTCCTGTCTCCCTGAGAAGCTCTCTGGCTCGCACTCTCTCTCATCATTTTATACCAACCATTGTGCAGTCCCCAGAAATGCTATCACTGAGAAGTAGCTACTCCTGAGAGAATCACCATTTCCTCCTCCGTTGACCTCTCACTGAGCTATCCTATTTTTCTTTATTATTAACTTTCCTGTTCCAAAGAGCCTTTCGTCAGAGACTCTCAGAACACTTTGCAGGGTTTTCTGCTTGTAATAACCTTCTAACCATTTTTTTTAAGAGGTGGCTCACTTTGGTGAACACCTTTTCAGTTCCTTGACATTTTTCACTGATATTGGTTTGGGGGAGGAAGGGGTTGTTGGTTTTTGTACCACCTGACTCTTCTTGGGTTCATGCCAAGGGACTGAAACTGTTCCCAATGGAGCATGAAAACTCATATCAATTCATGCATGGGCTCACACTCACGGATGTTGAAAAAGCTGGAGTTAGCATGAAGAGCAGGTTGGGGTGGTGCTCCTAAAGCCGGATGGGGCAGCATATGAAACAGTGAGCTGGAAGGCAAGAGGTTCTAATGCTAGGCATTCACTCCCGACTAAATAATGTAAGAAAATGGTTTTGTTCCACAGCTCTAGTAAAGGAAGGCGATTTAGGGAGGGGGTTGTGGTGGTTGATTAGTATGCTTTAAACAAATCTACTAACAAAGTACACAGCCATTCTTCCTCCCCTTTAAGCAATTTGTTGACTTCAAATCCACACTAAGTTTAAATGTAGGTTTGCTACTGTGTTATAAGTGCTGAAAAGGGAAGAGTGTGTAGGGGAAACTGGTGGGGAAGACTTACCTTGCTTGTGGAAGGATACTAAGAAATTGACCCCAAAATGGTTCATGATTTTGGTACTGAGCCTGACAAATTTGTCACAAGATCCATCTTATATAAAGATGGGAGTTAATCGTATAGAGCACGCGTTCTCAAACCGGGGTCTTGACCCCTCCGGGGGTTGCGAGATTATTACAGCAGGTGTGTGTGGGGGTCACGAGCTGTCAGACTCCACCCCAAACCCTGCTTTGCCTCCTACATTTTACACTGGTATTAAACACTTTAAATATGAAAAAAAATTATAAGGAGGGGGGTCACATTCAGCAAGCCTCTGTGTGAAAGGGGCCACCAGTACAAAAGTTTGCAAACTACTGATATAGAGTAAAGGATCCCTACGTGTTTTATAGTCCCTTTAAGTAATACTATGAGGTAGTCATAAAATCTAGTTAGTACATGACCTTTTCAATCCTTGTAAATGTACTGCAAACCATATAAGGTATCAGTTTGATACTTAAAACACTTCAGCCCCCCCACCCCCCCAATTTTCATGGATACAGAGTAAAGAAGATTAAGGCTCAAATTCTGAGGTCCATAGTCAGTTTTCACCGTGCTTTTAAGCAGACCAGTGCTCACTGGTACTAATCAGGTCAGTTCCCATTAAAACCTTCGGAAAGGACCTCAGGATCCTGCTAGAGTTTCATAACAAAGAAAAGCTTAGAGAGAAAAGACATAACAACTTTTCACCACCTTCAAACTCTGGTTGGCAGTTGCCAGAGTTTTCATTCAAACTCTCCTCTTCATTGATGATGATGTTTTCAATGTCCTTCATTGTTAAATGATCCTGGAATGCATGATACAGAATATGTTTGAGCTCTTCCAGCGTTATCCTTTGCATGTCAAACTGTGGGAATAAGAGAAAGCATTTCAGTTAGTTTGCGGAAGTGGTAACAAACCATAAATGCTTTAGGGACGCTCTCTCCACATCCCAATGTGCTGCACGCTCGTTGTGGAAGAAAAGGCCTCAGAGGTTATTTTTCAAATTCTTTTCCATACTTCTAAAGAATGCACTAGAAGTGGTGGATATCCATCACTTCCCCTATGAGGTCTGTATTGCCTATCAGCTTTTCCAGGCATGCATGCGCCCAAGAAGCCAAACCCAGGATGGGCTCAATGAGCCTCGCTCATTTTTGGTAGGATCTTTATATACTGGGCTGCCTAGCAGCTTTTTGCAGTGCAGCAGCACCCTGCCCTAATCCCTCCCTCTTAACATAATACAGGGCGCTGACATGTTGACCTTCAAGTATTCATGAGCATATGTCACAGGCAAGGTAGGTAGGTGCTGCTCCCACACAATGTCAGTGCCCAGCCTGAAACGGTCACTGCTGCAGAAATATGCTTCCATTGGAACACAGGCCCCCGCCCCTCTCCAGAGGGTACATCTTTGCTTTGGGGTATCTGGCTGTACAATTGCACAGACACAGACCTATATATATAGTATGAATAAAATTAAATAAAAAGAGAATGTGTTCTCTTTTTTTATCATATACAAATAGAGAACTCATTGCTTGATTTATTTATTTAACAAAAACCCTCGACATTTACATGCAACCTCTGTAGTCTTCTCAACCCTTCAAAAGAAATGCCCACCTCCTGAAATGAGAGAGGAATCCAAATTACACCTCTGGCCTAATATGGTGATTGAGAAAAATAAATTACCACTTGTGTCTGCTTCTTCCATTAAACACATACTGACAGCAAGTAATTAGATTTCTTATCCAACAATTTCATAAACCATAGGAGCAAAAAGAGAACCCCCTCCCCAAAGCAATTAGATAAGCTTATCTATTCTTAGTTAACAGGAAAACAAAGACGTTTAGCATGGAAAACAGCTAAGGCCCTCTTCCCTGACCACCTTCTCCTTCACTGAGAAAAATCATTTGCCTATGTGGGGAAAATAAGCTTTCAGAAGCTGTTCTTGATACGTTTAAAATATTTTTGCATATAAATGAATCCAGACTCATTGATCTCTAAAATTCTAATTTAGTTCTTTTTCCTGTGACCTGTAAAATCTGATGCCAACAATGTTATCGCGCAGCGAGCAGGAGGCAGCACGGGAAATGGTGAACGCTGCAAGCGCCTCATGTAGCTCCAAACAGACCCCATCTATTGGGGTTGGTTGTTTCTCTGCTGGATTTGGGACACCGCTGACCTACTAAAACTATCACCAAACGCACAATTGCCACCAGCAAGCTCTAGACTTTGCTTGCGCTAGAAGAAAGACACACACACACAGTGACAAATTGCCCACTCATTGTGTTGTAAGCACAGAAATCTGCATACTCCTCTTCTGATTTCTTTCAGAACTGGTATGAATAGGAAAAATGTTTCTCCTGGCAACTAGAGCTCTGTAAACATAGGCTAACAGACACTTGGCTACCTCACAGGGGTGTTGGAAGCATTAATTACTTGATGTTTTATACGCTGCTTTGCATTTGCAAAGCATGTTACAGAGCCAAGTGTCGTTTGATCATTTTTACCCCCTTCTGAGGCAGTGTTTTCAGGCTGGCACAGTGCTAAGGTGAACGGCGTTGCTCTGGCTTTACACCAGATTTACCGCTTGTATCTCTATGGGCCAAACTGAGCTTTGTTAAAGTGCAGGGGGTTATCGTGGTTCTGTGAAACACCCAGAGCCCAACAGTCTCCCCCACATACTGAGCGTATGCTTTCTCACCCGCCCTGTAGTTTTGCTTTCCTCTTTGGCCCTTTTGGTGTGGACCAGACTTACGTTAGGGGTCACAGCTGAGTTAAGTCTGCAGTGAAGCCATGGCCTTACTGGCCAAAGGGGGTGTGGTGGCTGGTCCGTTGATGCTATAATTGTGCTTGGTTTATATCTTTGTCTCAAAGGGAGATCTCTGAAGCCAGTGTGTTCATAGCGCCACCCTATAGAGATTTTTTTTTCCTTCTACCATCTGCCCAATAGCTAGCTTTACCAGTAATTGGGGGTGCTTGCAAATGCTAGAAAGCACAGTGTGTGACTTTCTGGCAGATGTATTTAGAAGCACAGATCATGGTCTCTGTGCTCTGTAAGCTAACTCACATGGTATATTTGAAAGTGCCCCAACATATGAGTGGAAATCCCGTCTTCTCAGGCATCCACCAATCACTGGTGTTCTGACTCCTCAGACATTTCTGTAACTACTAGCAGATTGTGCTTTTGATATTCCGCCCGTGTGGTTTTCTACAAGGAGTGCGTTTGTTCCTCTGCCTCTTGGGACATTCTAGGGAGAGGGGATTTGGATGGGCTAGTTTCAGGGACAGTGCGTGTAAACTTCATGGGCAGCGGGTATCAAAAGTAGTAGTGGGACTCCCCTCACTCCATCACAGAAATACTGAAACATAGGACTAGCCCCAGTGGATCTGACCTCTGGTCCATCTAGCCCAGTATCAGCTGCTTCGGAGGAAGGTGCAGGAAACCGCCCAGCAGGCAGATAAGTATGTTCAGATAGCAACACACTTCAACTACAGTACGGTTGTATCCCACGTCAAAGGGCAATTGGCGACGGACTCTCTCTTGAGGTTCTTTGGAAGAAATCCTTGGTGGAAGGATTCTGCAATGGCTCTTTTAGTGACAATTTACCAAAGTATTCCTCAGCAGCAGAACTGCTGCCTTACGATCATCTGGCATGGGCGCTCTCTCTCCTATGAGCCCCCCTGCACCAAGCAGCACCCCTGCCCCTTGTCAGATCAGTTCCCTGAGGTTGAGCCAGCAGCCGATTGGGCATGTCCAACTTATTTTCACTAAGACGTGGAGCCACTGACTGTGTCAAACAGTAGAAGGGGTTTATAATTTGATGCAGAGAGATCCTGTCTTGTGTCACACACGTTACCTAGATTACTCTTCAGGCTGGGGGGGCCCATGCAGCACTTGCTCACTCCATCCGTGAGCCTGTATGCCGAGTTCTTCTGCTGAGCGTTACTCTTCCCAAGAAGAGGCAGAGGATAAAGAAGAAAGGACTCAGCACCAATCCCTGACTCAGTCCCGCCTGTCGCAATCGTCCATCTGTAATGAGCACGGCGCTTGGTAATAAAGTGTTTGCAGGATCAGACCTGCAGTTTGTGAAGTATTTTGTCATCTTTGGGGATGAAAACCGTTAGAGCTATGAACAGCACCTAGAAACTCAGCAGCCTGAAATAGTTCCCAGTTTGAGCCCACACCTTCTGGCCCAGTCAGCGTGTTAGTCAGAAATGTCCTTTTGCCATTAATGTGTGTTAATAACACAATCATTAGCTTTGGTGAAAAGAGCAGTGGTGGAAACTGATTTTATAAGCCTATTTTTCATTCACGGGCTGTAAATTAAGGTTCATACAGAGATGGTAACTTTCCTGAAATAAGCACAAAGGAATAAATTAAATTCAGTGAATTTTAAAAAGTGTTAAATTCTCCAAGTGAATCTCAAACTATAAAACGCTGGCTGTTGCTAACGATCAAGGTGGAAGAGCATTTATAGACAGGGAAGAGCCCTGTCAATGGACGAAATCCATAAAAGAATCTCCCAGTATTATGCTGTAGAAGACAAGCGAGTCAGCTTGATAAACTCTTTGTTCTTCACAAATGAATGTACAGAACTTTATCAGAACTCTGACTACTGCCTCTTGGGGATGTATGAAAGAGATGATTATGATTCTGAGGCAGGGTGGTACTTCAATAAGCTCAGCTCCTGTGCTGATAATTTCCAGGGACAGCACTTCCCTCAAGCATGCCTCAGTATTTACCTGCTACCAGGACTAAAGTCCTGCTAACAGGTAGAGAACTGTTTGTTAGTTAAAGAAACTCACATCTGCATGCTGAAAGCCAGAACTAGTTAGAACTCTTTCTTAAAGTATGCACTTAGATCATGGCTAAGGGACTTAGCAAGCTCACCATTAGCTATGATATATGAAAAATCTTGCCATTAACATGTTAGACTTAACCTGAACTGAAATTTAAGGGCCTGTATATTCAGGTGGTCAGACAAGGGAAAAGGAGTTTAAGGTTCTAAGAGCCCATTAGATCATCTTATCTATTTCCCCCTGTAGATTAAAAAAAGAAATGTTCCTCTCAGCCATGAAGTGGACATTTGAACTTGCCCCAAACATATGGCTGTTCAGTGCCAGGGTTCCGGCTTGGCCTTTCATGGAGGGTGGAGCTAGAGTCAAATTGCCTAGCGATAAGGGGTACTGGGAACCTGAGGTTTCGTAGTGTAACTCTAACCCGTAATTGCAGGGAAAGTTGTGCTAAATGCTGCACAGCAGCACATTGACAGTACCAAAATTGAGCAGGTGAGCACTTCTGCTTATCAAGGCTACGCTGGGCTGTGCAGGGGCTCAAGGCTCTGGCTGCATGGATCTGCCTGTGGGATCAGGTCCATGCTGATGCTCCCTTTTTATATAAAAAGGAGAGAGCACCACCATTCGAAATGGAGAGGACTATTTGGCCTTGGGGATTTTACACCTATCTGATAGCTTTCTATTCGACTTAGTACATCCCTGTGCTGATGCAACTCTTGTGGTAGGTTTTAACACACTCTGACAAACTTCTGGCATTTCTAATGATGTATCCAACCCAGATATAAAATCATCACAGCTTGTAAAAGAAGGGCATGATTTCATCTGCTGTATAGCATGTAGGCTCAGCTTCGGGGGAGAGAACTTAAAGTTTTATAACTGAACTGTAGCCACCAACTTGTATGAGCTATGGAAAAAAACCTTTTCAGTAGGTGAGTGAGCCTCCCGTGTCTCAGCAATTAGAGCAACGTTAAAAGCTTGTCAACAGGAACCAGCTCTAGGCACCAGCAAAGCAAGCACGTGCTTGGGGTGACACTCTGGCTATCCCTTTTTTTTTTCTGGGCTTGGGCAGTTGCG